GTAAGAATTGTAAAAGTCTGTTGCTTGTTTGCTGTGGTTGAAAACCGGAAACAATTGTAAATTGAATCGCAACTGGAGTGATGTGTGTGTGGATTCAGCTCTTCAAAGTGGAGTCCTATAGCTCAGTGGTTAGAGCACTCGCCTCACAAGTGAGAGACCTGGGTTCTATTCCGGCAGGGCGAAATGTTAGGCAAGTTTCTTTACTCCATATACCTCTGTTTACCTAGTAGTAAGTAAGAACCCGGGTGTTAGTCGATTGGCAGATCGCTTTTCCGGGGATAATAATTCCTTCAAAAAATATTAAATTGGTCACTTCAATCCACAACTGTTTGTGGGGACGCTGCTGTGCGCAATTGGCTGCTGCATTTCATCCACAAAATATGCAGTCAATTCACTTTACAGTATATTCTGTGAGGCGCTTTGAGACGTCTCAAAGACGTGATAAGGCGCTGTCTCAAATGCAAGGATTCTTCTTATTTTTTTTCAGAGACTTTAGTTGGACTTTTACATGAAAGTGAAAAAGCAGTTCAAGTCAACCACAGATAAAATTAGTCGTCTATCCTCATGGCTGTTTGTGGGACATTACTGTGCAAATTGGTTGCTGCGTTCATCTACAAATACACAATTAATCATCTTTACAGAAAACTCTGTGAAGCATTTCAAGACTTTCCAATATGATAAAGCACTTTATCAAATGCAAGGTTTATTAGTACTGTATTATCAATTTAATTAAAAAAAGTTTCCAATAATGCTTAAATAAGGGTTTACGAATTTGACTCACACTGCAATATGAAATGAGGGGATGCCAATCTGTGTTGTGATTCCTTATATGGTAAAATTTCAAGTCTTTCTACTATGGGCAATTGCCAGGTGAGGATCAGGAACTTTAGCTCTGTAAGAAGGAGAACGGCATGTTAGGACGAAAGGTTGGACTAACCCGGGCCCTTTAAATTACTTTATTGAAGCTGGGATAGCTGGCTTTGTTTGCCTTATTTTCCTAATGATTAGCTAAAAAGGAAAAGGAATATCCCTGAATCAGTGAAGATGAATGGGTGAAGAACATCCATTTCCCACTTCACCATCTCACAAGACAGAAGTCAAAACGGATAAAAAAAAAGTGGAGGAAAAGGAATAAAATTACAAACAGTTTTGGTGCAACGGCTTTAGCCTCAGACAAGGGCACCACAAAGGTGGTCAGGCCTTCACCCTCTCTTCCCCCACTCTTTGGAACTCCATCCCACATTTTCTTCGCTTCGCACCCTCCCTTGCTTCCTTTGAGGCACGTCTCATGACCCTCCTCTTCGACCGCGCCTTCAGCCACCCTCATACCCGTACCCTCCACCCTCCCTCCCTTTGCCCAACCCCCTGCTCGGGTCCAAATCCCTGACTGTCAGAACCTTGGGACGTCCTCCCGATGTGAAAGGCGCTATACAAATGTAATTTGTTGTTGTTGTGAGATGCACAAAATGGAATTGTGTACGTATAGAAGGAGATGCTGCCAACTAAGCATCATTAGAAAGAGTGTACACAGCACGACTCAGTGCCTGTGTGTATGGGTGTGGAGAATCTGGTCTTCAACTCACTCCTCACTTCTTTGGTTCCACATTTGATGGCCAATCCAAGATCCACTTACGCTCCTGCTCTCCAGCAATTATATCCAGAGTTATATAAATCCAGAGTCCGCATGCTCTTCATCATGCTTCTTGATCTCTCTCCTACTTCCCAAACCGTCTCCAAGCATGTTTCTTTGACCGTGCTTTTTTGTGAACGTCCTTAAAAAGTCTCCCTTTTATTCCTGCTCAACTCTCTCTCTATTGTATCAGTTAAGCACTTTGTTCATCATTCTTGAAAGCTGTTGTACAAGTGAAGGTGTTGCTGTTTTCCGATTGCATTCGCGACCAGTTCAGGCTTGTTTGAATTTCCTTTTCAGATTCAGCACCCGTGGCCCATGTTGAGTGGTGTAAGTAATACATCACAAGGTTCAGTTATCTCAGCAGAGCTTGTCGATTCATTCTCCGTAACATTGCTTTACATGCAAGGAATTTGTTCTGGCTCCTGCTTCACTTAGTGAGGCAAGAGCTCAGAACGTACCTGGCTGTGAAATCTTATACCTCATTTACGATCGCAAGTGGGCATTGCATTGCTGAACAAAATCAATAGCTTTCATCCATTTGGAATACAAGCCTGAAATGTAAACCAGTGGGGGAAGGGGAAGGTGTGGGGGGAGGAACAGGTAATCACAAGTAGGAAATAGTCCTTCAAGTATACTCCAAAGTTGGGATTCTGTGTCTGGGCAATGAATGAGGTGCGAATAAGTACCCTGTCAGTGCTGATTCACACTGCAACTCCTTTTAAAATACTCTACCAAGTATTCAACTCAGCAGCAGTCAGCAGATTGCATTGCAAGCTATATGATTTCGGTAGCATCTCAAAGCTCAATGCAATGATCTACTGATGTTCCAATTTAGCGTGAGCTTTGTGAAACTTGGAGGTGCTTTGCAGTGTGCAGCACACTGACCTTTTATCATTTGGGCGTAAATGTGAAGCTGGAAATTACGAGCGGGAATGTTACTCCTTTCATTTCTCTGCCCACACCCTCCCATCACTACCTGAGGCTGACTGCACACCTCTGCCCTATCTGCGTCACCAATGCTAATCCCCTGATCTCTTCAGGCCCCACCTTAAAACCTACCTCTTTGACCATGCCTAAGATCCCCCCCCACTCGGCATCCGCCCTGCCATTGTGAAGTGCTCCGAGACTTTATTCTAGATGAAGGACACTATATAAATTATAGTTGTTGTTGTTGTACTTGTCTAATCGGGTATATAATAAAACTGTCCTTATATGTTGGGCTGTGAAGGTATGTGGAATGGATGGTAGTTTATCCAAGAAGCAAATGTGACAAATTTATGTGAATTTAATGTATTTAGTAGGTAAAGGATGCTGGGTTAAAATAGCTTCAAGGGCCACTTAATTCTAGTTGAAATTGCTTGCCGCTGATTATAATTAGTCAATTAAAATCTTGGACTGGAAAATGTCATTGTAATTGAAAGTAAAATTAGCCTTGTACCTGTTTAAAGAGCACCTACCTTTTCTCCCCCCTCTCTCCCCCACCACCGACCTTTCACAATATAATCTGATTTTGTTAGGAACAGGACTGAAATTCTGACATTAGTTGCTTTTGATGGGAGCACGAAACGGTAGCAGTACCCTTGAACAGTAAATAAAAGTGACCCCTGGAAGCAACTCTGCACTATGGTTTTATGTGTCACTAGGATCTTATTGCAAGACATTCAGTTGTGAACCTTAGCGTGGGAAGGTTGCACTTTAGTCTGAACCCTGCGATCAAATTACACACAGTTAGCGAAGAAAATTCCCTTCACTTACCGACGCAGCCTGTTAATGCAGTATATTGTAACACCAGCGCAGCAGAGATGCAAAATATCTTGCAAACCAATACCGCTGGGATCAGTTTAATTGATCGTCATCACACGGGAACATTTTAACTCGTAAATGGAGGAGCAAATTCTAAATTAGCAATGTTTCAATGTCTCAGCATTAAGCAATGGTGTCCCTTATCATGCTCTGAATGTTACTCATTATCTGCCTCGCGAGTTCTATGATTGGCATTTTTCTTAACTTTGTCAAACAAAATTGACAGATTTTGCCAACTCAGATGGAAAATGGTACAAGGTACAAATAAGGCCTGGGGAAGCTTGCTTGGAAATAAACTGGATAATACATACAGTGATTCCAAAAATAAAAACTTAATTCATGACGTAGACCTTTTCTAGAGTTCACGAACGAGAAGCATTATTTTCATGTCTTTTAGTCTTCTGAGTTCAACCAAATGCCTACCATGTCTAAAGATATCTGAAGGGAAGGAGGGAGGGAGGGAGTGAATAATGTTTTCCTGGGGTTGAAATGGTTCTATAGATACCTGCATAGCAAGAGGCGATGAAGTTGACCAGTCTGTCTAACTCATCAATGTGATTTCGATTTGCTGACACCACAGATCCCAAAGTGCAATCTGTGTTTTATCTGATACTCAGCTCTTCTTTAAGCATTTCACTCTGTTGTTGACCAAACCCACTGTCTTCCATCACCCGACCTCATCCCTATATCACCGCAAAGCAGCAAAGACCCCTTGTCAGGTAAATTGACTGTATATTTTTGTGGGCGAAACGCGGCAGCCAATTGCGCACAGCAGTGTCCCACAAACAGTCGTGAACTGAGCAACCAAATTATTATTTATTATTTTTTAAAAAAAAATTTGAAGGGGTTGTTACTCCCGGAAAAGCGATCCACCAATCGACTAACAACTGGGTTCTGTTGTGCAAGGTGAGTCTATAGTCATTAGGATTGGTGTGGAGATCCTTTGATATTTACAAATCTTACAATGTTAATAATGTGGAGTCCTGTAGCTCAGTGGTTAGAGCACTCACCTCGCAAGCGAGAGACCTGGGTTTGATTCCCGGCAGAGCTAAATATTAGGCAAGTTTCCTTACTCCACACGCCTCTGCTTACCCAGCAGTAAGTAGGAACTCGGCTGCTAGTTGATTGGCGGATCGCTTTTCCGGGGATAATAATACCTTAAAAAAAAATTTGGTCACTCAATCCACGACTGATTGTGGAACACTGCGGTGCACAATTGGCTGTCACGTTTCACCCACAAAATCTACAGTCAATTTGGAGTGTGAAGTGCTTTGAAATGTCTAGAAGATGTAATAAGGCACTGTATCAAATGCAAGGATTATTATTATTATTATTATTCATCTTTTCTGTGAGAATAGCAACACGTATTTATTTGTGTATCAATATATTACAACTGAATGTCTGATCAAAAGTGACCTTTCGATTTCCACAACAGGGTTATACGTCCCTAAAGCTCAGGTGCAGTTAGAGGAATGCATGAAATTAAGAACAATTAAAAAGCAATCTCTGTTTATTTCTGACCAGGGTGTTGATGATGTGCTTGTATATTTTTTGTTTTTTATAGCACCATCGCTGATTAGTGTTGTGAAAAAGAAGAAGGTGACCAAAAATAGCATCGCACTAAACTGGCAGGAACCAGATCGCCCCAACGGTATCATACTGGAGTATGAGATCAAGTATTTTGAAAAGGTAAAAATGAATCGCTAAATGAATCTCACTCTTTGGTTTTGAGTCCGATTCCTTTACAAGGACTTCAATAATCTACGAAAGCCCCATCTGATTAATTCCGAACCTTACACAAGGCAGATTGATACAAGAGCATTCACAGCCGTGTTCCTGTGGCAAACAGCAACAATTTGCATTGATGTAGCTAGGAGGAAGAAGGGAGAGTGAGGCGTCCGTAGACGCAAGCAAAGTGGTAAGTTCTAAGGTGAGATTTGAAGACGGATAGAGAGGGGGTGGTAAGGTGGAGGGATCGAGGCCGGGAGTTCCAGAGATTAGAGGCGTAATGACTGAAGGCTCGGGCACCAAGATGCTGCAATATCTGCCTGTGTCATTATCAATAAATTATTCACAGGTAATTGCATTTAGTCTAAGCCTGTGAACATTTTGAACAGAAGAGGTGGGGGGCTTCATGTGGAGTATAAAGACCAGTGTGGTCGAGTTGGGCCGAATGGCCTGTTTCCATGTTGCTGCCGTAACACTCAACATAACTGTAGGTCTTCAAGTTGCAGAGTCTTTCAAATTTAATCTTAATTTGGAAGCCGTTTTTTCTGGCATAAATTGATCACGGCAATGGGAATCAATCGGTGATAGAAATCTGTAATTGCAAAGTGAGTGAGCACGAGGAGATTATGTCCGCGCCACAGTCTGTCCGTACCTGATTTGTGATACTCGCTCGGGTGAGGTTTGAATTGTATGACGTAGGAAAGTAGAACCTGTATCATTCGGCTGCTCAATGTGCTTTTTCAAGTGCAAAATATTAAATAACCGTTTACATAACCACTTTAATATCGGGAGGAATAGACACCTGAGCTAGGGGAAGGGAAACTGAAGGTGGGGTGGTGGGTGGGGGAGAGAGATGTCCAAAAACATGTTCAAAGAGGTAAATCTTAGGCCAGGCTTTTAAAAGTGAGGAGGGAGGCAGAGGTACAATTACAGAAAGCTCACCTGCCAATGGTGGGGTGGGCCGGGGCGATGGATACGAAGCGGGTCAGTATTGGCTTCATTATTAATAATAAAAGTGAACATTCTGGCTGGAGCAGGACATCTCAGACAGAGGAAAGTGGGAGTTGCCTCTCTGAGTCCCGTTTCCTAGCGAAACGTGTTCAGGAATGCTTCTTCTTACCACTGGAGCATAACGTTCCCTCGCTAGCCGCAAGAGTGAGTTTTCACTGGGTCTTATCTGCATTCCAGACAATTAGGCTTTTCTTTCGAGGACTGTTCAGCAATGGCAGCAAATCCTGGGATGCCTCATGCCTCACTGCTGAACTAATTCGAATACAAAGAAATGATAATGATTGAATATTTGAACAGCGGTTAGCCATTGATTGACAAATTGTTTAAACAATGCATCTTATCTCGTGAAATGCCAGCGTGAAACCCTGGGTGAGATGCAGCCTCACTGTTCAACCCTGATATCTTCACTTTGTACTCCATTATCTTTAAGGACCAGGAGACCAGCTACACCATTATCAAATCCAGAGAGACCCAGATTACTGCAGATGGCCTGAAACCTACGACAGTGTACATCTTTCAGATACGAGCTCGCACAGCAGCAGGATACGGGGACTACAGCCTCAAATTTGAATTTGAAACCAGCCCGGTCTGTAAGTCCTTTTCTTTAGTCCTGTAACTCGGTGTTTAAAGCACTAGATTCGATTCCCGGGCAGGGCGAAATGTTAGGCAAGTTCATATACTCCGTACGCCTCTGTTTACCTCGCAGTAAGTAGGAACCCGGTTGTTAGTCGATTGGCAGATCGCTTTTCCGGGGGTAATAATTCCTTCAAAAGAAATTAAATCAGAATAAATTGATCACTCAATCCACGACTGTTTGTGGGACAATTGGCTGCTGCGTTATGCCCACAAAATATAGAGTCAATTCACTTTACAGTGTATTCTGTGAAGCGCTTTGGGACGTCTCAAAGACGTGATAAGGCGCTATATCAAATGCAACGATCGCAAGGATATTTACTGACATTCCTATTAGCTGCTCAGACAGTCTGCAGGTCAGCAAGGAATGAGATGTCCTTGCCAGTCCCATGTTTGCTCTTGCACCCCGTTCAAAGAATCTCAGCAGTATTATAAATTAAAACGTCATTCATTTTACTACGCTGCTTGACAGAGGAGCAAAAAAAATCATTACTGTAGATGTTAGAAGAAAGAGGGAAAGGAGGAAATACAAGACAACAATGGGTGATAATAGATCCGCTCTGTCGTTGAAGAGCAAAAAGGTTTGCTAAAGGTGCAATGGAGAATTCTGAAACACACAGAGTATCTTCAGGTTGTTTTAAAAGGCGCTGTGTCGGTTTTCATGTTGTGGGCAACTGAGATAAATTGATATCTTGGGCTCCTCACCCAAGATTGTTTATAACAGTGGCTCCTTCAAGATCATTGAACAACAGCAACAACTTGCATTCATGTAGCGCCTGTCACGCCACATGGCATCTTGGAGGGCTCAAAGTTGAAGCCCATCGAAGGTCCAAGCTCACAAGCTGTGCAGGCTCAAGACCGTTACAATACGAGTGAACGTACAGATTAAAGTAGGTGACGTGAAGCGGAAGTGGTTGTTGTGGGTCGAGGAGAAGAGGCCACTTTCCTTTCGCAAAGAAGCGGTGGATTCAATGGGGGTTTTGGAAATTATTTTGTGTCAAAAAAAATGACGAATTGCTGTGCACGCAGCTCCATTGGAAAGAATTCCAGAATTAACACGGTTTTAAGTTTGGATTTTTTAACAGCGTTTTATTTGTTGCTGGAAGTTAGTACAGTAAATTATTGCGATCTAAAAAAAACATTAGCTTTCTGTATGCGTTACTTTCATATAAATCGATAAGATCCTCACACTGGTTTTCAAATCCCTTCGTACCCTGGCACCTCCCAACCCCTCCGACCTGCTTAACCACCCCCGACCCACAACCCGCTGCCTCAGCTCGACTGGCTCCTGCCTTCTGCTTGTCCCCCGTGCCCTCCGTTCCACCATCGTTGCCCGCTCTTTCAGCTACTGTGCTCTGAAACTCTGGAACACTCTTCCTCTATCCCTCCGCCTCGCCCTTTCCTTCCCCAACTTCAGATCGCGCCTTAAGACCTTCCAATTCGACCGTGCCTACGGTCACCTCCCCCTTCGCCCCCCCCCACCCCCCCATGGCTCGGAGTTGTGCTCCCCTGCATGAAGGGGCACTTTATAAATGCACATTGTTGTAGCTGTTGATTTGCGCTATGTTCTTTGTTACAATTTTTCTTCCTCCTCATTATTTATAGCCTTACCTGCTGGTGATCAGAGCCAGGTGCCCATCATCGGTGTCTCTGTCGCTGTGGGTCTAATCCTGCTCGCTGTGCTCACTGGGCTGCTCCTGAGCGGAAGGTAAGGAACGTGTGAATAACCTGCTGACTTTTCTCGCGAAAATTAATACGCTTTATTGCAAGTGACACTTTAATCATGAAATATCCGTTGTTTCTTCAATTAATGACAAACGTGGCCTTCGGCAATCACACTTGTTTTAGGAAAAGGAAAGGTACTGTTTCTTTCAGGCCTAAATTAGCGAGGATTGAATTCACTTGCGTCACTCTGCCACTCAGATATCAGTTGTCGCTGTCCAGATCAGTGCTGAACAGTGACATTAATCATTCAGTCTGGCACCTTCGTAGCATCAGTGACTGGCTGACTAACTGCCTGGACAGTAGGAGAAACAATCATCAAATGTTACAAGAGAGTAAGTGAGCAAACGGTGCGTGTCCGGATTCTATGGTATGTGTATGATATTCTCAGCTATGTGGGAATGGAGGTTTCCCACATTCGATTTCAAATCGTTTCATGCCCTCGCACCTCCCTACCCATCCGGCCTGCTTACCCCCCCACTCCACCACCCGCTGCCTCCCGCTCGGCTGGCTCCGGGCTCCTGTTTGTCCCTCGTCCCCTCCGCTCCACTCTCTGTGACCGTGCTTTCACCCACTACTCCCTGAAGCTCTGGAACTCCCTCCCTCAATCCCTCCGCCTCGCCCCCCTCCCTCCCCACTTTCAAATCCCGCCTAAAGACCGTCCTTTTTGACGTTGCTGACGGTCACCTCCCCCCTCCCTCTTCCCCCGGCTCGGGGTCAGAGTCCACCACTGTCAAGCTCTCCGGGACTCTACCCCACGTGAAGAGCGCCATATAAATGCAAGTTGTTGTTGTTGTTGAAGCTTATTTTCAATTCTTCACCGTTGAAATGAAGGTGATTTGAATCTTACTTTGTTTCCTCTTCTGCACCGAAAATTGCGGTGCTATTAGTTATCATTGTTTTAGTTTTTATTATTTAAAAAAAATGGATTTCAAGCTTGTGAAGGATTTTAAACACATCAGAATCCCCCTTCTCTTTTTACGTGGTGTCAGGGGATCAGCGCCTTGGGACGACCTCCCGACGTGAAAGGCGCTGTATAAATGGAATATTGTTGTTGTTGTTGTATCAGTAACATTCACCAGAACAGGAAGATGAGATCTTAATGTCGAGTCTCATACAATACAATTAACATTCATATAATCAAAGAGGTACGTCTTTTCCGCATCTGTAGATAGTAAAAGGAAGTGAAGACAGGAATTTCACAGTTAAGTCATGTTCCAAAAGAACAAGCAGTGAAGAGTGATGGGCTGATGAGTTTTGATTTCTCAGTTCACTAACAGTAGGGTGTTTTATGCACCACGGTCTTAAGTGTTACAAATCCTTATCCACCTAATACAAGACTGGAAGTAAACAGGAGTGCAAACACCGATGACTGTGAGGAAATAAAACAAGTCAGAAATAAAATCTTACAAAATCCCATTTGGTAACTGGGTGTATTGCTTTACCCGGTTGACCTGTTATCTTGTGCAGAAATTTAACAGTCAACTGAAGTTTGATAGAAAATCACATCATACAATCTTTATATTTTGTTGTTTCAGGGCTCTGTGTAAATTGGGTTTACGTAATTACTGAGCGAAATCTCCCTTGGAAGTATTTAATAATAATAAAAAAATCCTTGTATTTGACATAGCACCTTACATGTCAGGAGAACATCTTCACAGGATTTACTATAAATTGTATTAACCGTGTATTTTGGAAAAGAGTTCCAGAGAGCCAATTGGCTGCCACTTTCACCTACAAAATACACAGTCACCAGACTTTGTAATACATTCTATGAAGTACTTTGAGATGTGATTGCATCGTGAAAGGCTCTATGTCAAATGCAAAAGTTTTTCTTATTCAGCTCAGTATATAGCTATCAATTGCTTCTGAAACTTCCCCCTTTGCGCCCTACTGCCCCAACCTTGGGGATCAATTTCAGTATGGCACTGTCAGAAGCTTTATTAAGATCTAAATATATCCTGTCGAGCAAGTTCCCTTTGTCCACAACTTTGTTATTTCCTCAAACAGCTCCCGATATGTTTGTGGTGCATGTTCTCCTTTCCACAAAGCAGTGCTGTGTCTCCACACGGAAGATCTCCAAGTGCTTGTTATTCACAGCTACAGGATACTTTCCAACGTGTTCCCTCCCAACAGATGTCAGGCTCACCAGCCCAGAGTTCCCCAGATTATCTGTTTGCTTCTTTTTTATCACTCGGAATTACGTCCCACATTCTCCGGGCCACAGGCAGCAAACCTGTGTTCAATAAGTCCCTGAGTATGCCTGCCGGGACATGATCTGCTGTTCACCCACAAAGTCATTGAGAGGAGCTGAAACAAACACTTTAATACACAATATGACCATTTACTACTTCCTGACATTGTTTTGCACCTGGGAGTCATGGCCTTAATCTAATACCGATGGTCTACAGAGCCAGTAAATAGCTGCATTATCCTCTTGAATGAAGTGTGCTGCCGTTTCTAAGAAAATGTATTAACCGCATGGGCAGCTACCAAAATACAGCTTACAAATAAAATTATCCAATTAGTTATTGTCCTCCTTAGATGTTCTGTGAATTAATGAAGAATATCAAGTAGTCTTGTGCACACCAAATGACCATCAATTAGATTCTGGAAAAAGACATTTTGTGCTCGCAGACTTTATTGCCGTGTTTGAACACGTTCCATCGAAGCTGTTCAGCAAGGGAGGGGCAAGGGAGGGAGCGAGGCTAAGGGAATGTGGGATGGAGTTCCAAAGGGTGGGGGTAGAGAGGCTGAAGGTCCGACTGCTGATGGTGGGGCGGGCCGGCCAGGTGGGTGATTTGGAGCAGGCAGGAGCCTGCTGAGCGGACGCAGCGGACCAGTTGATAAGGGCCAGAAGGTCGCAAAGGTCTCAGAATAAACAGAAATTTGTTTACTAGAGGAATGAATCATCGTGTTTGTTTAATTATTTGGACAATGTGGCTGAAACTCGGTCAGTGTCACACGTTGCACCTTTGAAGATGTCAGACACTAATTGGATTTCTCCATTACAATCGCGGATCACTAAAGGCATTTCGCACAGTGTAAATTTAGCCCTGTGTGGTTGATTCACTGATGAGCTGGGAATTTTGTCAACCAGAGTATAATATGTTCGGTAGGTTTTCTGAGGATCAGGGAATCACCCCTTAAATAATCCTCTTAAATGCTCAAACATACGTTTAGAAAGCTGCGAGTCTTTTCAAAATGATTCCACGCCTTAAATTTAAGATACTGTTGCAGGGAAGCAGTTAAGAACATGACCATATGTCATTTGCATGATTATTCCTAAACCCTGGTACAATATACCAAGTACAAATGATGGTACAATGTGCCTTTTTTGCATGATGTCATGGTTGTAGAATGATTGGTGGCTGCATGGTTCAATCACTCTTCAAATCATTAACAGTACTGTTCATATCACTGATGTTAATGATACCCAATGTATTAATCCAACATTATTAATCTTTTTGCCTCTTTAAAATGCAATGCCTAATACACCACATAATATGCAATTATCACTCCGTGCAACTTATAAAGTGAAAGAATTCAGGAAGTCATTTGTCTTTGCGGAGGGAAATGAGAGGTGCCAATGTTCATTTATTGCCCCATGGTGTTGGTTCCAGCTCAGGGCTATTCCTAGTAGATTTAATTTTTCTCACAGCCATTGCTCAAAATACTTGTGATATAAACCAGGTAAACAAGTTGCAAATAAGTCGCTCAGAACTTAAATTGCCTCTTAATATTGAAGTAACTCAAGGTCTTTGTTTTATGTAGATATGTATCTTGAGATGGTTCAAATATTTCTAGTAAATCATAACAAATTTTGAGTTTTCCTTTTTGTCACAGTATCTCGAGGACATTGAGATCTACTCATCACATGTTCGTTTACAGTTAATACTCCAATAGTGATTATTGTACTGTTGCAAATTTATAATAATCCCTGCATTTGATATAATAATCCTTCCATTTGATAGTCTACATTTTTTTAAACATAATTACCGATTCCTGAAACATTAGGCAAGTTTCTTTACTCTACACGCCTCTGTTTGCCTAGCTGTAAAGAGGAACCCGGTTGTTAGTCGATTGAAGGATTGCTCTTCTGGTGGTAATTATTCCTTCAAAAAAAAAAAATTGGTCACTCAATCTACGACTGTTTGTGGGATACTGCTGCATGCAATTGGCTTAGGACAGTCATTAGGAAATGGAAGTGTTTCTTTACCCAGAAAATAATCAACTGGAATAGGTTCTCAATGATAATAATAATAGTTTCTCAAAATGCTTTGCAGAATATACTGTAAAGTGAATTGACTATTTATTTTGTGGACAAAATGCAGCAGCCAATTGCTCACAGCAGTGTCTCCCCAAACAGTCGTGGATTGAGTGACCAATTATTATTGTTAGTTTAACTCTAGATACACACCCCAACAGTGTCTCTTCTCAAGGCTGAAATGCACAAAAAATTGCCCTAATGTGAAACAAAATAAAGTGCCAAACTTGACCTTCAAATGAAATAATCCTGCTATTTTCTGAAAACGAAGACTTGGCCGATAGGACCCGGTGGCATTTCATCTCAACTGCGTCCCTCTTTTGTGCAGCGTTATTGTAAAGATCTTGTTGTGTGCCCAGTGACATTAATTTAACTGCTGGGTATATCTTTCACACAGCCTAATCTCTTAAACAGCTGTAGCTTTTTATACGAGAAGACCACAAGAGATTTCTCTCTGCCAAGTATGACTTTGCTGCTGAAAGCTAGAATAACGAAAAAGGAAAAAAAAGACTTCTAACAAGCTTCATTGCCAAACGATGTTTACAACTGGTTTCCGTCTGATTCATGTCTTTAATTTGGAAACTTGTGATTAATGAATGCTGTTTTGTTTGTGTAATCTAGGCGGTGTGGATACAGCAAAGCAAAGCAAGATCCAGAAGAGGAGAAGATGCATTTCCATAATGGTCACAGTAAGTCAGACACGAGCTAGTTACATCAGGCATTTTAGAGATATGAGGGAGAAAGAGCATGTGGGAAAAGTTCAATTAAAGTTCACGACTAAACATTTGGCTTCCAAGTAAAAGCAGTGATCTGTTTGGTGAGCGTCTTTAATACGGTTATGTTACAGTTTGCAAATGAATGGTCATAGAATAATACTGTCCTGATATTATGCAAATGTCCATACATCAAGTAATCAGATCTGGTAAGGGGAACCAAACCCAAATGGTTAGAGTCATTCCTTTCGTTATATTATTTCCTTTTTTTTCCAAAATACTGTATCAACTCTGATTTGTCTCTGTTTGTTTTTAAATCCTGTGCTCAAGATGCTCTTTACCAGCTTATTTAGGCTTCCCAAATTGCCTTGACATATTCTGCTGATTTACGAATAGATGTCACTGCGATCTGGTATATCCTGTGTAAACCACACCGTCTGTGACAGTGTTTCATCGCTGTGGACCAAATCAAGCTCATGAAGATCATTTCTTCTGGGCCTGGATGAACTACTGAACTGTTCAGAAGAGCATACCCACCAGTTAGCCTCCAGGCTCCAAGCAGGACTGTGATGCACCCTGTTATTATTCAATGGACCTAGCCCACCAATGCGCTCAGCAGGGCAAGCATGAAATTGAAAGTGTAACAAGATGCAATTCACAGTAAGCTCTGTCTGTACATGTAAGTGTCTGCAAAAAGAGCACTGTTCTGGCTCTAGTATCATCATCCATCATTTTAAGCCAGGATCCACCATTAACATTTTTGTCAATGGCCACAATTTCAAGCTCCCTCACTTCCTCCTTCCCTCTCTTCATCCCTCCTTCTCTTCCTCATTTCCTGGCTCCAGCATTATCCCAGAGCTGGTTGACTATGAGGGGAGGTCTGGAATCGCATCTTTCAAGAGCTACAGGTGAGGGCAAAGTGTAATTAAAAGTAACTTATTAGGATGCGTCATCAGTACCATTGTTTTATACTTAGCATAGACAACAAAAATGTCAGCAGGTTATTCAACCGTATGGGTCGTGGTGATAGTGGAGAGGGAGGAGAAGAGGAGTATCACAACTGAGCCCGATTTGGTAATCCATCAGGAGCCACTGGATAGTGGTTAGGACTGACCTTAGAGGAGGGATTGCTCCCTCTTTCCGAATCACAAAAAACCTCAGTTTTAGTTCCCTGGCTGCCCTCGCTGAGATCCCTGTTACAGCACAAGCCACGGTAATAATCAGAATAATCACTAGTAATCAGAAGCTTTTGTTTATGGTCTGAAAGGTGTGTTCACTTTTCCATAAATCAGCAAAAGGCAGATTAAGCATCAGCAGCCATACAGCACGGTAACCAGACGCCCAGGGGAATTAACAGCAGATGCACGGAGTCATATAGACACCTACGATTAAATAGCTTACGTCAGCCGGAACAGATAGCACTCATTGATTGTGGGAATAGCGTGCAACCACCTCAGAAAGTTAGTGCATTTCCCAAAGGTAGTTTCCTGTCTCCTGATGGTGAACTGCTAGCTGTCAGAGGATGCTGTGGGTCTTCGTGAAGGTGCTGTTGCCATCGCTCAATACCTACCTTTGCACTCTGGGGCCACATACAGTTGTGGAGCCTCCTCAGCACTCGACAGCTGTCACTAACACCCACAAACAGACTTATTTGCTTCGCTAGTTTGTTAAACAGTTAAAAGAACTGACTTTTCCGTTCACTAATCTAGCGCAGATTAGCTGCAATTTCCTGGGAGTGGATCACACTCCTACTCCCTCCCAGGAAGCCCACCTAAAAGGGACAGGAGTGAATTTGCAGTGCACACAATTGCACAACGAACATGGTAAGAACACAAGAATTTGCTGGAAGAAAGAGGACCAAGGTCCATCCAGTTCGCCTTCCACCATCCTGGCAGCCGCTTGCACATTGTCATGTCCCAAACTGTATACTGTGTCCCGAGATAATGTTTCCTTATAGAAATCTGTCTAATTTGTTCTTGGAGGAATCGACACTTTCTGCTTCCACCGTTTCTTTGGGGTACCTGTTCCGTACATTTAGTTAATCACTCACTCAAATGGTGTTGCCGCAACATGAACTACTTTACAATCATCAGACCATAACCCTCCCCCCACACACAAACCCTCTCTCCCTCACACATGATGTCAACATTTCAAAAACCTTAGAGGCAAGTGGGTGCAATGGAGACTCAGCCCCCAGATGCAACACTAAGTGGCGAAGTGGTGCAGTGTGAACCCTGATGGCAGGAGAGGTCCTGTCGGCAGAAGTAGAGTGTAAGCAGAGTCCCTGGTTCCTGCTGCGCTGTCATGTCAAAGCCAGGTACGCTCACTTGAGTTAAAGCAGATAATTGATATTGAACAATGTTTATTTGCACAGTTGCTTGTTCACGGTGAAATAGTGTTATGGGGATTACAATAAAAAGCCCACTGATGTAGCCTTTGTTGTCTGTGTTGCTGAGGGGAAAAGCATTGAATGTTCAACTTGCACAGAATCAAATTGCTTCCAACAGCGTTTGCGGGGATGGTGGGGGGGACACACGGGACACGTTAAATACTCTAATGGTTGTGGTTAATTTGTAAAAAATGTGTTTATCTTAATTGCTAAAGAAATGGTGCTTTTTTGTTTGTCATTTGATGTGTGGTTCTCTGGTGGCACACACGTTTAAAGCTGTAATTAGGTTAAGCGACATCTATCATGACGGATAACTGATGATTTTCCAGTCTGCCTCCACTGAGCTGGAAAGCGTTCCAAAAATTCTAAGCAGAATTAAAATAAACTGCTTGTTATGTACATAACGCTGTGATATGTTATTTTTTGATGAATGTTTCACCGATTCCTACGGATAAAAGCCAACCTAAATATATTAACATCCCCAAACCCAAGCGAGATACAGGGCTGATGTAAGCAGGTGGTTGTGGATGTGAGATGCTCACTGTGTTGGACCAGGAGAAAAGGCAGAGAGAGGGATAGAGAAAGAGATCGAGAGACAGTGAGAGAGAGAGAGAGGGCAAGAGATCGAGAGACAGAGAGAGAGAGAGAGAGAGAGGGCAAGGTGACATGATTATAAGCTAAGAAAACTAATTCGGTGAACAAAGACCCACCTGCATATTATAGAGCAAACTCAAATAGATGTAGAATGCTGAGTTCCTGGTGCTCTTTAATCCCCTTCTTTACACTGAGGGCTGGGAATTGACAGCGTTCTCACCAACACAAGATCTGCCGCTGAAGTGCTGCTCTACTGTAAGTGAAGCCTGAGATGTATTAACGTATGGTCATCGATTTAATCATGTTCGATATCTATCGCATCAAAGATGGCCCAAGAAATGGTGCTTTTTTCTTGTCATTTGATGTGTTGGCCTCCGAAACACAAGCTATTTTCTGAGCGCAGCATTGCACTTCGAGATCACGGACTGCGACATGAGTAGGATCTGAGGTTTTTAGTAATAAACTGGTCTCCTGGTAACCGGTAATCGGGTATCGTAGGTCACAAGCTGAAAGTCCCAATCCCATAGACCCAGCTTTACAGCCGACCCTAACACATCCAGGGTTGTGTGATTAATATCTTGAATCTGTCGCTATGTCAATCCCCATCAAGGTAGCGAGACTGCTGGGCAGCATGGCAAATTCAGACTCAATTGAAGGAGTCAAAGAATAAGCAGGTTTTGGTGTACAGCATAACAGTGAACGATATAGAATTTGCGTGAACTATAAAAGGGAGTCAAAGCGATTAGCATGAGATCCGACAGCAAAGCCACCGAGCAAGACGCGATGGCCTTGCGCTAATTCCTACCCTCAGTCTTAAGAAAATGCTAACCCAAGACTCTGCCAATACAACTCGTGAGGTCGGGAATTGTGACAGCAATCTCTGGCAATGATTTTTCTCTCTCTATGTATCTCTCACATTCTCTGTGGAGAATCGCATAACATCTATTGAGCATCTCCCTCAATGACGCAATCGAGATTGGGATCTTGTTTACCGGAGACTTGCAACACGGGGGCCAAATGCTACTTATTCAATGATCCATCAAAGTGACATGCAAATAATCTGGGCTATTGACTCTCTGTGATGCTGCGGGTGTGCTTACTAACCTCAATCCTGTCTAACTTCATTTATATTTATAATACTGCACTCTGTCCACTACTCCTATTTTAATCTAAGCCGCACACGCACACACAATCTGACTTCGCAATTTTCAGCATCAGTCGATTCACTCCACAGTATATCCTGTGAAGCGCTTTGAGACGTCTCAAAGACGTGATAAGACGCTATACCAAACGCAAGGATTATTATTATTATCAATATTCTGTAACACACCATTTTCGACATGTACCCAACATGATAATAATGTGTGATGTGAAGCGCTGTGGCGGTGATTAAGGGTCTGTCAGTTAATCATGCATATTTCATGTAAGGGTTGGTTGCATGTATGACTGAGATCATTACAAAACTCATACAGCCAACACTTCAGGGTGGCTTCTCTGCTTGAGAAGAAGCTCCCTAAGATCGCGATTTATTTTGTAAACTTGAATTATTACAGATCCCCACCAATGTGAGTTCTATCTACCTATTTTCCCAACTTGCTAAAATCCAAATTTAATGCAATGAGTTCACAAGATAAATTCAACCTGTCAATCTCATATCAACCTGTCCGCTCAGCAGTCTGTGACCTCTCCACATTCCCCCCCTGGCCCGCCCCACCATCGGCAGTTGGGCCTTCCGCCTTTTCTGCCCCATCCTATGGAACTCCATCCCACATTCCCTTTGCCTCACTCCCTCCCTTGCCCCTTCAAGGTGCGTCTCAAAACCCTCCTCTTCGACCGAGTCTTTGGCCACCCTCCTACCCTCCCTGCTCCTCCACCCTCTCTGATCCCAACCCCCCATCTCGGGTCCAAATGCTTGACTGTCCAGCACCTTGGGAGTTCCTCCCGACGTGAAAGACGCTGTACAAATGTAATTTTGTATTGCATTGCAAATTCAGATGAAGAAGGCCTTTTGAGCCAACTGAATCATCCTTCAAGAACACCCATCCCTGTCCTCCCATCACAGCAACAAGCTTTTTTTATATGAGTCCAGTGCGCTGGCTTCAGACGATTTTCATGGAAACCTGTTCCAGTCATTAATTATTCTCTGAGCAAAGAAAAAACTGGTATCTATTCTGAATCTGCTCTTTGCAACTCTAAACCTATGTTGTCTAGTTCTACTGACTTGGTGCAACTAGCACCCTTCGATCTTTTTCAACTCCCCCTTGGCAAATTCTGGCCCATCCATGGAGTGCATGTGTTTCTTATTCTTACTTCCTTTAATTTGTATTAAATTGTACTTATAGTTAGGGGTGAACGTGATTCTAAGGATTTCCTCTACTTCATCTCAACGGATCAGAGGGTTACATGGTCAATAACCCATCTTTTTGTTGGCTAGTCAGCTTCATGGACATCAAGTTAATCAGTGACGCAGATTGGCAGTTACATTTATGTTCCAGTGCTGTGCCCAGTGGCAGGCGTAACTGACAGCAATGTACTGAGGAGGAGGTACCACTTGCTGCCCCTCGAGCCACAGAGCGCGACCTCAACAGGTTTATTTTCTCATTGCCCCCAGAGGCAACAGAACCAAGAGTGTCTCTCCTTTCTTCCGAGTTATGTATCCTGGCCGTGGGTAGTCTGAGCTCTCGGTCAGCCCACATAGTCCACGTTCCCAACAATTTTTTACCTCTTCTTGATGTGTCAGTGGGACAAAATCCCAACACTGGCCTGCATCAAGCACTATCCAAACCCCTTCTTAAGGGGATAGTAAAGCAATACCTTTACATTATCAACACGGGTAGAGGGAAGTATTTTGGTGGTGACACTAACATTATCAAAATAGAATTGAAAGTGCTTCTCTGGGATATACTTGACCTTAGAATGGTTTTCTCCTGCCCATGAAATGGAAAAGGGTGATCATCTTCGGTATGAAACGTGAGCGGTCTAAAAAATGTAGGAAATATTCTATAATGTTACATAGCGACTGAACGATATCAAGAGTGAAGAGCTTAAAATGAAGTGGCATATTTTATAATCCATGTCGGAGGGATTTGAAGCATACAGTTGAATTACCCCTTATCTCTGGAAAACTGCACTAGAAACTTATCTGTGGGCATCAGGTTAAGAGAAATCACTAAAACCAAAATGTACAGCTTTATGAATGGAAAAAAAGACAAAAGCCTTGTAATGTATAAATTAAACATTGTGAAAGTATCTGGTTTGCATTATTTTATTGTTATGCACAGTATTGTACTAATATTTTGTACTTTAATTTCACCAAACAGTTAAATTGCCAGGTATAAGAACGTACATTGATCCTCATACGTATGAGGACCCAAGCCAAGCTGTCCATGAATTTGCTAAGGAAATAGATGCATCATGCATCGCCATTGAAAGAGTAATCGGAGCGGGTAGGTGACATCCTACAAATCTTTCTTGTTTTCTTTCCCGCACCAAACTCCACACGCCCGTCGCCTCAGTCCTTGGCAGGCTCCATTGCCTGTGGATCACAAAACAGATCGATTTCACACTCACCTACAAACTACTTCATGCCCTAGAACCTCCCTACCTTTCCAACCTACTCACATTCAATTCCTCTGCCCGCCCACCTTCGCCCGGGCCTTCTGTATGCCCTCTAACGCCCTACGCTCCACCATTGGTGACCGTGCTTTCAGGCACTATACTCCGGCCCTCTGGAACCCTCTGCCTTAATCCCTCCGCCTCATCTCCTGTTTACCCGTCTTCAAATCACACCAGAAGACTTTCCATTTCGACCGTGTCTACGGTCACCTCCCGTTTCTCTTTGGCTCGGTATCAAACTCTGCCGTTGTTCAGCAATCCACGACCCTACCCCATGTGAGAGGCGCAACATAAATGCAAGTGGTTGTTGTTCTAGTTGTTGTTTGTGGATTGCGCAGTGTATTGCACTTTGCATGCATCCAGTTGGAATAATTTTACATTGCAGTCTCTTGCTTTTCATTCTAGGCGAGTTTGGTGAGGTGTGCAGTGGGCGTTTGAAGTTAGCTGGGAAGAGGGAATTTCCTGTAGCCATCAAAACTCTAAAGGTTGGCTATACAGAGAAACAGCGCAGGGATTTCCTAGGTGAAGCAAGTATCATGGGCCAGTTTGACCATCCAAATATCATCCACCTGGAGGGAGTCGTCACTAAAAGTACGTATAGCTCTATTCATTAACAATACTTTATCTTGTAACACAGTAAATCAGGTGAATCTCTGAAAATGCCAATCGTGAAGCTGCGTTATACGATTATTTACAACAGGAATAATTTCTGCAAAGGTCACCATGTCTATCCTGCGCTTAAAGTAAGGGTTTAAATTTATTTCTGATTTAAGACCGTCGATTTGGGATTCATGTACAAAAAATATATAAAAGCTAAAACGCTTTATATACAAAGATCCAGCTGAGCTGGATTGTATGTTAAATTTTATATTTCTGAAAAAGCAATATTATTTGTGTGACTGAAATCCTTTTACGAATGATGCAATGATTGGATGATGATGACAATTCCTCATGGCCTTAAAATTTAAGATTGGGACATAGCTGTGTACATATTGACTGCCGAGTTCACACACAAAACGCACAGTCACTCCGCTTTACAGCATGTCCCCTGAGGTGTTTGGAGACATCTCATTGCGTGATAAAGCGTAATATCAAATTCAAGGATTATTATTATAATTTTGGAAAGTTCTTCCAATTCATTCTCAATATTGAAACATTTCTCCCCCTGTTCTTTGTATAATGATTATAGTTCTCTGCATGAACTGTGAGACGGCATTGTGCTGGTATGTTTATACTGCCAAATCGTTATCAAAAGCAACGCAGGTGCTAAGACTCTACTGGCGTCAATTCTATTACCTAATAGCAGAATTGACGCTATACTTTTTCTATATATATATTTTTATATACATGAATCCCAAATCGATGGCCTTATCATATCGGAAATAAATTAAAATTCTCAGTTTCAGTGTAGGTCAGATATGGTGACATTTCCGGAAATGATTCTATTCAGTAGTAGCATTGTAATATAAACAAGGAAATAAAATGGAAGCGAAATAGAGAACGGATCACAATAGTTATATACAGCTGTATGTTACTGTTATTCACTGCAAATTTGATTTTACTAACCACTGTTCTTTTATTGAAGAAGCTAAGCAAGTTCCCAATTTATTTTAAAAGTAGTGCTGTTATCTTTTTGGTAGACCACAATCTCATATCCTGAAATGGGCTATTGGTACATTCAGTTGTGTTGTTCTTAATTTCAGTCAATAGTTACTGTGCAGTTTCCCTATTCAGGGCATCACTTCTGCACACAACTTTCACTGTGGATGACAAGAATGACACAAAGCATCTTAATTAAATATTCAAAGATGGAAGAAGCATATTGCCATATAGTTTTCACACAATCTGTTGTTACAAATCTATCAACTCTGCTAAATATTTAATCAGACATCAGTTTAATTTTTCCCTTTGGTACAGTTGTTGGTCTTCAGATGACTTTTACTTTTAGCTGCAAATTGTATCGAGCGCTGTGGAAATGATTGCCTCTTTGTCTTACTCTTCAGTAACTACCCTCAAACATTATTATATATTGAATGATATATATATGCAATTTACAAGACCCTATATCAAAATGCAAAAGCAGGGATTATTATAGTTACACATATAGATTATAGTCTTTTTTTTTAGATTTTTAGTTTTTATACTTCTGTATGAAAGTGAACTTTTGCTAAAATCAAAGATGTTTGATTGTTACTTCCTGAAGAATAATTGTGAAAATCAAGGTTTCTTTTGAAGAAGATAATATAACAGGGGTGCAGTATAACAGGGGTGTGGGGAAATGTAAAGGTGCAGATAACAGAAACAAGGCTGGCCCCAAAATATTCTTGATAGTGTTCGTTAAACTTTCCCAATAGTTTTTTTGTAAACTGTTATGATTGTTGGTGTGGGTGGGAGGTGGATTTTCAGTTGCCATTGTATTGCTGTAATGTAATTATGTATTTCTCACTAGATAGGGTAGATATCTTAATAGCTAAATTCAGAGAGCATAGGCTTAATTAATGCCATGTCATAGAACCACATTTGCGTGAAATGAGGTACAAAACGGTTGAAATGTATTTGATAAATAAATGTCTGCATTAAAAGTTGCTGATCCATAACATAATAATTAAACGTTAAGGTTAGCAGCACTGTGTTCATCATCTCCTCCAGATAACATTGCTTACCCTGCAGTTTAGTCAGGACAAATTTGTAGATAATACAAAAATGAACATTGCTGCTTTCGATAGATGTTTTGCGGAAATGCTTTGCCTAAAACAAAAGCCCATAAGAATCTAGCCCCAACTATTTGGGAAAAAAAATTAAATTAGGGCATTCAATTTTAATTCCTTTGCTCTTCTATCGTAGAACACAGCTTTTGCTCCGCTTGTTACACCTGTTATATTGAAATGGTGTCCACTCGTTCTGCTGCCAGGGTGTGTCAGAAAGTATTGATCTCTGTTTATTTTCTAAATCCCAGTTAAAATCTTGCATAAGACTCATACAGTATGGGGATTATAACACAGCATCAATTTGCTTTGATGATTCATAGATTCATAGCATGTTACGGCACAGAAGGAGGCCATTCGGCCCATCGAGTCTGTGCCGGCTCTTTGACAGAGCAAGTCACTTTCACTAACCCAATCACCAGCTTTCTCCCCATAACCCTACAAACCCGTCTTCCCCAGATACCTGTCCAGTTCTCTCTTAAAAGCTGTTATCTTTATAATTATAATTATGTTATGTTTATAATTTATAATTATTATAGTTATCTTAAAAGCTTTTATGATGGTTGCACTGTGAACCCCATTCACTGTGCAAGAGCGTCAGCTGGATTTCACATCAAAACAGTTGACTTCTAAGTCATTAGGGTTACTGTTAATATGTAACAAAACACAAAGTGATGTTGATGTTGGTGACGATCCTTGTGACCCAAATGCTATCACGGCGACACAATTGCAGTGAAACATAGATACATAAACTATTTTGGTCACTCTGTGTTGATGACACTCTCAGGAAGTCATGCTGAACTATTACTCAATGAGCCTGGAGGGATGAAAGGATTTTCTTTAACTTCACCAGATTTAATTCAAAACTAAGCATGAACTGTGGTGTAAACCAGACAGGCAATAAAAAATAAAACGTGTATTTCTGCTGGTGAAAATAACTTGCACTCCTCTTGCTAAAACAGTAATAGTGTCCTTGCCCGTGAAAATGCAGCTTGTGATGGAGTCCTGTAAGCATAGTGGTTAGAGCACTCGCCTTACAAGCGAGAGGACGTCAGTGTGATCCGCAAACAGGACAAAACATTAGGCAAGTTTCCCTACTCCACACATCTCTATTTACCTAGCAGTAAGTAGGAACCTGGTTGTTAGTGGATTGGCAGATCGCTTTCCAAGGGTAATAATCTCTTCAAAAAAATGTTTTAAGTGAAATAACTTCTATTGTTTGATGTGTGTTTCAAGGTAAACCAGTAATGATAGTGACTGAGTACATGGAGAATGGCTCTCTCGACACTTTTTTAAAGGTGAGTTTTATCCAAATTTCAGAAATTAAATGGTTTGTTATTGTTTCAGTCATTGTTGTACTTCTTTCCCCATGAATTAGGAACAGAATGAGAAATGATGGCCAGTCAAAGCTTATGTTGGCTGTTAGGTCAATGGATAACTGAGAATAACATTGATGAAGTAATAGAATAATGCAACACATATATCCAGAAAGCATCTCTAGGCTACACTCTAAAGAAACACAATGCTTACCACTTATGTCTGCGAATTTTAATAAAAGACAATTTCTTTTCAGGATATTTGGGAGTTGGGGTGGGGAAATTTTCTGTTCAAAAAAAGTTTTCCATTAATGCTAGAGCTATGGAATAATGACAAAATTGTTCACCTATTTCTTTAGAAAAACGACGGCCACTTTACAGTAATCCAGCTGGTGGGAATATTAAGAGGAATTGCATCCGGAATGAGGTACCTTTCAGACATGGGCTACGTACACCGGGATCTGGCTGCACGGAACATCCTGGTCAACAGTAACCTGGTCAGTAAGGTGTCTGACTTTGGCCTCTCCAGGGTGTTGGAGGACGATCCAGAAGCAGCTTACACAACCAGGGTAAGTCAGGCCACATATAGAATCAGAAAATATTACAGCACAGAAGGAGGTCGTTCGGCCCATTGTGCCTTTGCCGTCTCTTTGGAAAAGCTACCCAATCAGTCCCATTCCCCCGCTCTTTCCCCATACCCCTACAATTTGTCCCTCTTCAAGTACCTATCTAATTCCCTTTTGAAAGTTGTTATTGAATCTGTTTCCACCACCCTTTCAGGCCGCGCATTCCAGACCGTAATAACTCTCTGTGTAAAAAGTATTTGGTGGAGGAAAGAGGTTGAATATTCTCTTGACACTGAGTTTGACAAAACAATGAGATCTCACCGTCTCTTGAGTTTGTAACCTTTTCACTCCTCACAGGTCCCGCCTGCTCTTAAGTTAAAGTGACTGGAGATTTCTCTTTGGTCAGTTTCAGTGAAACCGAACGTAAATGATTTTTACAGGTTTAAATGGCGTTGAAAGGTCAGTAAAGCAGTCCTGAAACAAAACGCTGGCTTGTAGTATTTTTAACATTTATTCCAAAGCAGTGTCCTTAGGTAAAATAACCAGTTTAATATCTAATCAATTTATGTGCGTTCACATTGAGTAAAGTCATGATTTCGATAATCAGAAGGGACTGGGTGAATGGACTTATACAAGAACCCACTGGCTGTATCTCGCTAATCAACTCACAGTGAATCATTTCTTTAGTGTCTAGTTCAAATTTCTTGCTTTTCCCTCAGGCTCAAAACACGTTCTCTGTCACACTTTTATCCAGTCACAAAGTGGTGACGTTTTGGATCCAGTAAAACCTGCAGTACTTTCACTGACTCAATTTTTTTTTGAACGCTGTAACTTCTGCTTATTAGTGATTAAAAAGAGCTGGTTTGGAAATGCTATTAAACACATGAGATCATTGCAGAACACATCATACATTTTTATTCATTAGCTTTTCCCTAAAACGTACAGCTTAATTAAGGACAATTTAAATTCATAGCAGCACCTTGGTGCCTTGAAAATGCTATTTCAATGGAAATGTATTGACTGTAAGATCACTGGCTTGGACATTGGTTACATCATTCGTTATGGTCATTCCGCACTATATAATTAATATCGACAGCAAGCTTCTGCCATGTTAAACTCCACTGGGATGTAGAAGAAGGAATGCCAACACATGAGTCATGCCTCTGTTAACCTAGCAGTAAATAGGAACCTGGTTGTTAGTCAATTGGCAGATTGCTTTTCCAGGGGCAATAAGCCCCTCAAAAAAACAATTACAAAAGATAAATAAATAATAATTTGGTCACTTATTCCACGCCTATTTGCGGAACACTGCTGTGTGCAATTGGCTGCCGCGTTTCACCCACAAAATATACAGTCAATTCATTTTACGGTACATTCTGTGAAGCGCTTTGAGACGTCTCAAAGATGTGGTGAGGCTCACCTGTGAAGCGCTTTGCGACATCTTCCCATACCAGATGAAATAATTATCACTTCTTAAATGGGTTGTTTCCTGGCCTGGTACAAGGATAGACCCAGGATTTATCAATTAGAAATGGATATTATTCAGTAAATTTATTTGTGAATAATCTTCAGATTTAAACGGTTGATTATAAGGGTTTGGATGGTCTGTGCATCTCTCAGATGCCGTCAGTGCTATTCAGGGGGAAACAAAGCTGTACTTCTGCATCAAATTCTAGCTTGAGAGGAACAGGCTTGAATCAGCAGACAAACGAAATGTTAAATTTGCATTTCATTTACTCTCGTTCAACATTCGCACTGAAGAAGGTTACCGGGAAAGATAACCGAGGTCAGGTCGCTGGATTCATTCAAGACAGTCGCGTAGACGTTCTGGAGGAATGAGATCAAATGGGCTCATCTGAACCTCTCTTGTGATCAGGCCTTCGACTGCCAGGCTGCCATCACACCACCTGTCAAGGCTAAACTCAACAACAAAGAGGAACTTGAATCAGTTAAATCAAGTCCCTGTGATCGCCTCCCAGCCGAACATTAGTTCTGATGAAGGGTTCGACCCGAAACGTTTGCCCCTTTCTCTCTCGTTTCGTTGCTAGCTTTCCCAGTTGTGCGTTTCTACCATCAGGCCTGTGTTTAATTCAGACGTTCAGGCATTTTTTTATATACAAATCTCAGTCTAAAGGATAAATTCCATTCACTAATGATGCATCAGTGGGGTTGCTGACACACCAAGTGTCACAGTGCCTAGCCTGGAGGCACTGCTCTATGTTAATCTTTCAGGCGGTGCCAAATAAACAGTGGTGATTGGAATGGACGGCTGGCCAGCTTTCTTGCTGGTACATCAGAATCCCAACGGATAGTCGGCGAGGAAGTAGCATTGCAGGACACCGCACAGTTGCTGCAGCTATTTGTATTAAAATAACAAATATTAATCCTTGTATTAGATAGAACCTCAAAAGTGTCAAAGTTAATTGCTTTCAACTGTATGTTTGTAGGAAAACGAGGCAGTCAGTAAGCATGCAGCAATGTCCCGGAAATGGCCATAAAGTGTCCCAGAAATGGCCATTATTATTATTAGTAGTAGTTGTATTCACAACTGGGGGAGCAACACAATTATTTTCCATTTATAATAATGATAATAATAATAATAATAATCCTTGCATTTGATATAGCGCTTTTCACGTTGGGAGGATGTCCCAAAGCGCTTCACAGAATACACTGTAAAGTGAATTGACTGTATATTTGTGGGCGAAAGCAGCAGCCAATTACGCACAGCAATGTCCCACAAACAGTCGTAGATTGAAAATGACCAATTTATTATTGTTTTTGGTTTTGGAGGGATTATTATTAGGCTCTGTGTGGAGTAAGGAGACTTGCCCAAGGATTCGCCCTCTGCCTGGAATTGAACTCAGGTGTCTCGCTTGCAAAGTGAGCGCTCTAACCACTGAGCTACAGGACTCCACTCAAATGCAATAAACCTTGCATTTGATGCAGCGCCTTATCACGTCTTCGAGACGTCTCAAAGCGCTTCACAGAATATACTGTAAAGTGAATTGACTGTATATTTTGTAGGCAAATGATCAATTTTATGTGGGATTTGTTGACCGAGACACCGGGAGAATCGCACTTCTCTTTACAAATTGTGTTTTGCATTGTTGGAGGTGAGAGGTTAACCCAAGACGCGGTCTGCCTGTTCAGGTGGACGTTAAAGATCCCACGGCAGTATTCAAAAAGAGAAGGGAGTTTCTCCCAGGGTCCTGGCTAACAATCTCCCAAATAAAATTGGTCATTCACTTCATGGCTGTTTGTGGGACACAGCTGTCGGAATTCGCCCACAAAATACATAGTCAAAACCGCTACGCAGTATTTCCTGTAAAGCGCTTTGATATGCATCTGCGATGTGATAAGGCACTGTATCAAATGTAAGGTTTGTTATTCATAACATCTACTTGAGGAACAGGTAGATGAGACCTCAATTTAACAATACAATTTCACCAATACAGCCCTCCCCCAGTACCAAGCTTGAGTGTCAGCCTAGATTTTGATACAAGTTCTGAAGTGGGGCATGAATCCCCAACCTGTTAATCAAGAAGGCTAGAACTAAGCATCCCAAGCTGACTCTATCTTCCCCCATTTGCAAAGCTAGGTGCAAATTTGTTATCAGTTACTGAGGAAACTCAGCGAGATAAAAAAGCATACGTTGCTGGCCGGTGCAGGTAACTTAAGCGCACAGAGGATTCCTGGCCAGAAAAGATTGGAATGCAGTGGAACTTGTTTAACTTGTTTAATAATAATAATAATCCTTATACTTGGCGTAGTGCTTTTCATGTCAGGCAGATGTCTCAAAGAGCTTCACAGGATATACTGTAAAGTGTAGTGACTGTGTATTGTGGGCAAACTTATTATTATGGATTATTATTATTATTATATTAGTTCCAAGTCCTGATGTGGGGCTTGAACCAGTAAACCTTCTGACACAGACGCGAGAGTGCCCCTAACTGAGCCAGAATGAGATACAAAGGCTTATAACTTGTTCTCTTCAGAGATGTAGAACTCTGCCTCTCCCCCATCCCGTTCTCTCAGGTAGAGGTGCTCTGCTCTTCCGGATAGAGCAATATCAGCTTGTCTACCTATAGTTCGACAAGGTTAATATGTTTTGGTTGTTTCACTGGCAGCTGATGATAAAGCAGAGGCTAAAAGCTTTAAACCATGATTCACAGTGAGCTTTCTGCTCTTTCTGGTGTGTGTCGTTCGCCAACCGTGGATGTGGTGCTACTAGGAGAATTATATAGGCTGTGAGCAATAAGTGAGCAACGATACTTCAACATTTCCTGTGTGTTTTGTGTACCTCATGGCAGACGTCTCTTGAATCAGCTTAATCAAAGAGTCAGTCTCATACGTGGGAGTATTCAGACTGAATGAGGGCAGCCAATTAACAGGCAGCCAGCCATGGCATGTGGGCTTTTCTGTGCAGAGATCAGCTGCCACCTGTCACTTCCATTTAGCTAGAGATTCAACATCTTTTTCTCCAATCTGCTCAGAGACTTGACAGAATATCTTTGCTCTTTCCGAACAGGGAGGGAAGATACCGATCAGATGGACAGCTCCAGAGGCAATAGCCTACCGCAAGTTTACCTCTGCCAGCGATGTCTGGAGTTACGGAATAGTCATGTGGGAGGTGATGTCGTACGGGGAAAGACCTTATTGGGATATGACTAATCAAGATGTAAGTACTCCTGAGCATTTGGGTTTTTGTAGCTATCGAAAGATTCTATGGGAATATTTTTCATTCCCTTCAGGCTCTCACTGGGCAACTTTTTAAACATCGAACTCTGCCCACATTTCGAACTAAACCCTTTCACATTCTCGGGTGAAAGTGAAATAACAGAGGGAGTCACATTCTGCCCAAGTCTAGGTTTACTCTGTTAACATAGCATTTAGGAGCATCTGGGATTTGGTAGATTGTAGCATGCAGCTGTTTTTCTGTAGTTCTTAAAAGACACTTACAGAAAACTGACTTCAAAACTAAGGCTGTGTTTAAGAATTCACCACATCCAAACAGCTCTCTGTGTAAAATAAAATCCTCCAACTTCCCCTTTGTTCCCTTGTTAATTATTTTAAATTGACTTCCTGCAGTCAATAATTCCTCCCTCTCTCCTCTTAAGAAAACCCCTTGTCATTTTAAAGACCTCTAGGAGGTCCCTTCAACTTTCTTTGTTCCAAATAAAAAATAGACCTAGTACATCTAGTCCCTGGTTATAGGTTCAACCATTCATCCCCGGTATCATCCTAATAAATCACCTGTACACCCTCTCTTTGTCTCTGATGTTCTTCCAAAAGTGGGGTGACCAAAACTGGACGCAAAGCTCTTTCTAACTGCGTTTCTAACTAGTAATGTATATAGGTTAACTATCACATTATTCCATGCACATATTTATAAAACCAGGTTCCCATTTGCTTTCTTCACAGCTTTGCCCACTTGCCTTCTGAGCTTTAAATATATATATATGTTAACCCCTTAGGTTTCTCTACATTGCTTTTCCTTTGAAGGTAATATTCTTGTTAAAATTGTCATCAAGTGGATTTTAAGGGTCAGGAATGCAACATCCTACTTTGCTATATTTGTGTTTCAGTTTTGCTCCTCTCTAAAGGGCTCCTGCTAGAGTGCAAGTCACAGAAATCAGTAAATTGCATTTTGTCCTGATTGAGTTAGGATCATGAATATCAGCAGACTATCAAGCTGATCCTAGCCTCAACATCCCCACTCACACAGTGTGTAGCCACCTTGACTGTGTTTTTCTCCTTCACTGCTATTTATGAAACATGAATCCATCCGCAATAGATAGATAGATAGATAGATAGATAGATAGATAGATAGATAGATAGATAGATAGATAGATAGATAGATAGATAGATAGATAGATAGATAGATAGATAGATAGATAGATAGATAGATAGATAGATAGATAGATAGATAGATAGATAGATAGATAGATAGATAGATAGATAGATAGATAGATAGATAGATAGATAGATAGATAGATAGATAGATAGATAGATAGATAGATAGATAAACGTCTGCTGACAAATAGTACTCTTTGTTCCTGAAAAATAAATCATTCCGGTATTTTGTGAACCAGAGATCTATTTACAATACAAAATACAATACAATGCAAAATTGCATTTGTTTAGCGCCTTTCGTGTCACGGGAGGACGTCCCAAGGTGCTGTGGCATTATTTGGTGCTTAACGGTTTCACTGGGAGAGAGTTGAGATAAGATTTGTTTTACGAAAACACAGTTCCACACTTTCCAGATAGCTCTGTGGGGCGCTTTGAGACGTTTCGAGGTGATAAGGCACGACATGAAAAATGCAAGGATTTGATCTGATCATTGTGTCCTGAGCTTTGGCGTGGATCTGCATTACAGAAATGGTTGGCTTGTTTCCGGCAGGTGATCAAAGCTGTGGAGGAAGGCTATCGCTTGCCAAGTCCCATGGACTGCCCCGCGGCTCTGTACCAGTTGATGCTCGACTGCTGGCAGAAGGAACGCAACAGCAGACCCAAGTTTGAGGAAATCGTCAGCATTTTAGACAAACTGATCCGCAATCCGTGCAGCTTGAAGACATTAGTCAATTCTTCCACGAGGTATTTATTGCAGCGTCCGCTGCTGATGCTGCTTCTTGTTGAAATGCTGGCAAATTATGTGTTATTTTGGGGACTGCGATGTCATTGACTTGCATAGCAAAGTCTTACCTGTCAGCAGGGAAGGTGCTTTGGATGTTACCGAAGAATTTGTGCGCACTTTGGAGTGCATGCCCGTTATTTACGCGAGAGAAGTCAGTGAGGTCTGCAAAAACAAAAACAACCGCGACAATGTGCATTTATAGAGCGCCCTTCACGCAGGATGGCTCCCAGAGCGCTTCATACCTGAAGAATTGCGTACGGTTGTAGTCGAGGTCGACATACTGTAAGGAGTTGTTCAAGTCCTAGAGAACACAAAAAATTCTTCCCGCCCAGATCCTGTTCACTCCTGCGAGACAAAGTCCTAACAGGTTGAGTGGTCTTAGCTGGACAAGCAGCAGTTGTTTTGCAACGGGAAACTTAGGCTCCAGCTGTACCCCAAAGCACACTGTGTGATTCCCAAAGCCTTGGCTGTCTCCATCCCATTCCTGATACTTTCCACAGTTAGGGAAACCGGGTGAAATTTCACAGGGAAATTTCCATGTATAGGTGGACAAACCATATGAGGATCTCTGTCTGGTTTGGATATTTTTGAATCATGGTGATGGGTTTTTGCATATTTTATATTACGTTGTTCTCTTCATTTTCAAAGTGACGTATCAGGGGCGATCGAGTCGTTAGTTTGTTTTAAGCCCAGCTACTGTCTAATTCAACAGTTCATTTTTGGCCACTCGTCCATCGTATCGACCAGATTTTGGAGAGCAGCAAGGTTTCTTCATGCAGTGTTTGTGAAGATTCATGCTGTGAAAATAATGGCTTCGTTGTGGGCTCAGCAAGCTGTGTCGGTGGGTGTTTGACGCATAGCCCAGCTCAGTCCAAAGCCCTGATTGTCTAACGCCTTGGGACCTCCTCCCGACGTAATTTTGAATTGTATTGTATAGCCAGGCTGTGGGGTTGAATTTTTTGTTATACAAGATCAAACATGACTTCAACACTCCCGTTCTCCACAGTCGATTGAGCCTGTTAGCATTCACTGCCTGGGTTCACACATGACGATAACCTAATGCAATGAGGTATCAGAGGGCAATCAGTTCCTGTGGAGTTGTACCTAATAGAAGGGAACAAGGTGCCAGCATTGTCTGGAGATAAGGAGGCGGGGGGGGGGGGGGGGGGGGGGGGGCGGTGAAGGGGTGGCGGCAGGCATAAAAGGTGCAGGAAATAAACATTTCTGGGCGTTGCAAATTACACACGAAAAGTAAAACCTCATTGGCTTTGAATAATGCCAAGTGATAACGTCAATAATCTTAAAAAGTGTGTACGTAATAATATAGATTACATTGATTACATTTCACCAATGTAACAAAATGAGAAGGGCAAAACATAATCAGCATTCCACATTGGTCCCAGGGCAGAATAAACTGAAGCAAGCCGTTGGTTCCAATTATGTAGCCTGAAACCTGATGGTGAATGTTTCGATGCTAGAGAAAATGTGGTGGAATACAAATGGGCAATCCTCAGATCACGATCAATATAATATAGTTCACCTAACCAGGCTGTACCTTAGATAGGGACCACATCTGTTCCCTGTATGCATCAAAAGCTGAGCAAGCGTTCACTAAGAGTTCACATGTCAGTTCACATTGGGAGTGTAAGGGATTAGACCCATGACAAAATAGAAAATGTTGACTGAGTGAAACGTCCGCAAAATACAAATAAAATAATTTCAAAATATACAACGATTAAAGAAAGATTAAAAAGCTGGGCAACGGAGCAAGAGAGAGCTCTGTCTTCCTGAGATGTTGGATGCCTTGGGAAGTTTCCAGTATTCTCAGGCTATGTAAGTCAGAACTGAATCCTTCGATATGTAGGTTTTAAAACATGTGGTTTATTAAATGTAAAAATGAACAGAAGTAAGAATGTGGCTGCAACGGAGACAACTGAGTGGGAATTGGAGTCTTATCAAAATAGACTGAATGATTGCATGTGCTTCAGTAGTCAATAAAATATACGTTAAATTCGACCTTTTTTTACATTCTAAATGCATCTGATACATGTGAGATTGCTGTTAGTGGTGGAGCTGGAAGATTGTCCAAATGCAGCAAACCAGCAGAAAAAGAGACACAAAAATATAGCAAGCATGGGAGAGAAGCAAAAAATCTATTGTACATGTAGCTCACAATACAAACAATACAAATTTATACTTATATGGTGCCTTTCACGTCTTGAGGACGACCCAAGTGTAACAGTCATCCGAGCTGGGGACGGGAGCTGTGGAGGTTGGGAGGGGAGGAAATGGGGAGGGGAAAGATGACCGAAGGCGCAGTCAAAGTGGTAGGACTTGAGATGGACAGTGAAAGGGTGAAGGAGGGAGCGAGTCAGAGGAGCCCCAGAATGAAATTCCAAAGAGTTATTAGCTTGTTATAAAATTGCCTAATCACATATATATTTCTTTACTGTGGTCCGACCAGAAATTTGCCACATAGCAGACTTTGCTATACAAGTCGTGAGCTTGGTGTTAGCTCGGCTCAGTTGATAGCACACTTGCCTCTCAGATTTTAGTCTTTTTTTCTGTCAGCCAGGTTGTCTTGACACATGCGGAAACCCATCACCATGTCTTAAGAGTATCCAAACCAAGCTGAGATTTCCATGCATCCCACCTACACATGGAAAGCCCAGAGATAGATTGTTGGAATGGTATGTGCATGAAAGATCCCCAGATAAAGTTGGTTCATCCATTTCTTCCTAATTTGAAAGACGCCGTATTAAAATGCAAGGATCATTATTATTTTATAGTGTAATTTAATTGATCAATTTGCACAGGTCCACGCTTGATTATTATAAAGAACTAATCAGATGTAGGCGATTTTAAGCCTCGCTGTGCATTATAATTAACAGAATATATGAGACAAACATTCTAAGTTAATATGACAATCTTAATAAAATACGAGTGTTTTCAGTGGACTGTTTTCTACACCTCCCCTGTAACGTACATCACCTTTGCTTCAGCAGTTAGTGATGAATAGGTGAGTTTGGTGAGTGGCTGGGTGGGGTTAGGTAGCCGCCGAAACCCTCATACATGCTTTCGTTACATCAAAGCTCAACTAAGAAAACTCCTTGCCTGTTGGCCTCCCCAACTCCTCCCTCCACAGGCTGCAGATCATCCAGAACTCTGCAGCCTGTGTCCTCTCCCGCACCAGGCTCCTCGCCCGACTTCACTGGCTTCCCATCACACAGAGGATACAGTTCAAGATCCTGGTCCTCACCTTCAAAGCCCTCCATGGTCTTGCTCCCCTACATCTGCGAGCTCCTAATCCCCTACCACCCTGTTCGCTCCCTCCGCTCAGCGGGCTCTGGCCTGCTTCACTATCGGCGAGCGGGCCTTCTGCCACTCTGCCTCCACCCTCTGGAACTCCATCCCACAGTCCCTCCGCCTCGCCCCCTCCCTCGCCATCTTCAAGACCCATCTCAAGACCCTCCTCTTCAATCTTGCTTTCGATCTCCCTGCTTCCCACTCGCCCTCCCCCTTCCCCACCCCGAACCTCAGCTCGGGTCCGTAACTCTGTCTGTCCAGCGCCTTGGGGCGGCCTCCCATCGTGAAAGGTGCTTTACAAATATAATTTTGTTGCTGCTGCTGTTGTTATTTAAACTTTTTATTTCAGGTCTTAAATTTTATTTTATTTTAAGCTAAATGAATTGCTCAGGCTGTGATTTACACACTTTTCTTCCCATCTAATAAATTCTGTGCTTTTTCACACATGATGTCAGATTACTGATCAGCAGGACATTAGTGGTAGAGCTGCGTATCAAAATCCATCCTGTTTATATCTAGTAACAATCGAAACAGACAGAGAAGACCACTGAACTAGATGTATCAAAGGGACCTAGAGTTTTATTTTGAATTAAAGTGCATGGCAAATCTGGTCTGTGATGCAAGTTGTACTAATCATTTGTAAACTTCAGCCTGTGTTGTCCCCCGTGTTTTGGGGACACCTCCTGACATGTAATGCAAATTGTGTGCAGAGGAAAATTTAGGTACCATTAATTGGTTAATGACTCTAAAACTAGAACATTTTTCATTTTTGTGTGTTCATCATAACAAGTGCTCAAGAAAAGGCCAAGATTGACATTCCTTTAATGCAACAATAAGATTTCCATTCCCATAAACATCCAAATGACAAATTATGAGTCCATTTGCCCATTGACATTTTTGCAATTTATTTGAGATATTCACTGGAAATAGTTTATAAGTGAGGACGGCTATACTTTTCTACATTTATGTCCTTTATGAAATGCTTGACAGCGATGCCTACAGTTTTGTTTAAATGGTCTCTCAAATTGTCTTTAGGGTTGGATTGCAAGTTTCACCCGTAACCTCTTTGTGTTTTCGTTAAAGAGAAGAGTCGTGCACTGCTTTTGTAGCAGGAGGGTTATATTCAGCTGCAGTTATTGTGATACACATTTGAAAAGCGACCAGATGTAGTTTGCTGAGCCATTCAGAACTGAAGACGGTGCCATTTTCCTAACAGGGCTGTGCATTGTATTTCTTTCCTGTTTGCTCCAGAATGACCAACTTGCTGGTAGAGCACAATACCACAGGGCTCAATGCCTTTCAATCTGTGGGAGAGTGGCTGGAATCCCTTAAGATGGGTCGGTACACAGATAATTTCAATGAATGTGGATACACCTCATTGGACATTGTGGCAAAACTAAGCTTAGAGTAAGTAATTCTCTTTCTATTGTTCCTACTTAACAGAAAGTGACCTTCATGAAGTGCCAGCGTAAGGAGGTATACGGACCGCTTGTTTTACTTTGCCATCAGATCACTTGTGTATCCAGCCGTACATATCCTCCTGTCCATCATTCAAATGGAAAAATGAATGATTCAAAATGAAATTCGTCGACATTGCCCTGCGCAATGGACTGCACTGCCCTTCACAGCCCCTCTGCAACTATTGTTTCCTTAAAAGAAGCACAAAGCAGCTAAAACGATTTGGGCATTTGCCAAACAAACCGATCAGGCTGAATGCCGGTAACTCTAGGTTCACAGTTTGGGTTTGGGTGCTTATCTCTTTGCAGCAAAGGACTTCCTTGCTTTGTTTTCAATTGAAAGGTTTCTAAACTTGTCCACATACCGCACTTGAATTGATGTGATAAAATAAAGACTATTCCTGTCATGACTGCAATTTCCAGTGGAAACGCACCACGTAAAGATCAATATCATTCTCCCACTCTCATACCAGCCATCCTCAATTCCCCATCTTTCATTGTATTCAGATTACACGGACACAATACATCTTTCTTTTTAAACTGCTTAGAGAAGAGAATCCCTTCTGAGTTAGACTATAGTGTTGAACATAAACAGTATATAAACAGTTTTGCCCACAAATATACAGTTAATTCACTTTACAGTATATTCTGTGAAGCCCTTTGAGATGTCTAGAAGTGAGGACGGCTATATCAAAGCACTATATCAAAGGTTTATTATTATTATGTATACATATACACAGGGTGACCAAAAAGTCTTGATGTCTATTATCTAAAAAAAACTAATTATTTATTTAAGACTTATTAGACATTGTAATAGTATCACAATTTCTTGGTCATCCTGTGTGTATATATTATATATATAATGGGGGGATTCTCCCCTTGTTGAGATATTTACTGACCTTTGCTAGCATGCCCTTGCAATGGCAATATGTGAATAAAGTCCCACATTGTGAACCAGTGGGAATCACTCCTCGTTTGTGCCAAAAGTCATCGTCGGTGACTGCGTTAACATCCTAAATCTGGCAGCCCCTCATCGGTACATCACGATTTAATGTCAGGCATTAAATTAATGTACGTAGAACACGAGTCCTGTCCCTTCACCTGAGTCTCGGTTGTGAAAAGAACCAGTTGCACAGCCCATCGAGTTGGGGCTCGTGAGACCGGGTCTCTCTACGCGCTTATGAAACCCAAGATGATTTCTTTCTGCGTCGACCTTTACTCTTTGGGTTGGTGAACAGAACTGAACTGTTGTTATTGTCGTTTGCTCCACAGAGATTTGAGGAGAATCGGAGTGAGCCTCGCTGGCCACCAGAAGAAAATCATGAATAATATTCAGGAACTCAGGGTCCAGCTTATGAACGGCAGCATAGCCATGTGACTGGGCCCCTGCGCCTCGAGACACCGCTCGTCAATCAGCACTTTTTTTTTCTGAACCGAAACTTGTATTTGTTCACTGCTCGGAGACGGGCGAAAAGCAAAGACCTGCAGTGCACAGACCTGCAATGGGATAGAAAAAAACACATCACCCCTCCTCGGATCAGCCTTTCAATTGCTTTTTCTGCTTCCGTGAATTTCATATTCATCCAAAAAGGAGAGGGAATAGCGCAGAAGGGAAGTTTTAACGGGGACATTTCACCTTTCTCCCTCCCAAACGAAGCAGCACTGCAAACTTTGCCCCTTCACTTGTTTCTAAGAAGGTTGCTGCAGCACCTTTGACATTTTGTTTCGCTGTAAACGCCTGTGATTCTCCTGTGGGAGGACTCGAACTTTCTTTATAGGCCAATTTCAATGGATTCGGGGATGGCAGTAGAACCACAATAGTTTACGTCCGTTTACTGTATCGAGTCTCTCAATGACTTACAGTGGTGTATTGAAGAGCAATATAATTATGTTTACTACTTGGTAGTAATTTTTTTGTAAATTATAAGTGCAGTTATAACATGTATTTAATAAGTTATAGAAAGTAGTGTATAAAGTCTTTGCTTGAATCAGTCTTGATCAGTATGTATTTATTAATTGAAATGGTAGAGGATGTCATGAAACCCGTTAGTTGAAAACGTATACATTTGCTTTGCCCGCGCTTTATATGTATATACTGTACAGTTTGCTACTGCAGGGTACAGATTTTTTCTGTGTGACAAATCTGCTTAAATGTATGACTTATATGTGGGTTTGGCTAAAAAAAAATGAGTGCTGCATAGTTGTAAAATGTCATGGTGAGAGTTCCTTAAACTTTAGAGTCGACGACCTTGTTCTGAGTAGTGTGTGACACGCCAATGTGTTTTTGTAACAGTATCGTTTAAAGGGCTTCAGTGCTCAGACGTGTGGAGTAGAAAGTGCTCACATTCTCACATTCTTCCCCGATATCACAGTGAATATCAAACTGAGTTCCAGGAGATTGGCTGGGTCGTCAGTGGGATGCCCTTTTCAATCATCTTTGCCTTTATTTGTCAGGCAACACGAACAACAGTTTTTTTTTAAAACTCTGTGCAAGTTTGATCTTGAACAGCAGATGAGCTGCTTCGACCAATGCACACGGACACCAAGGAGCCCAATTTAAACACTGCGTTCGCATAGTAATTTAGTTCCAGGCTCGTGGTGCTTGTATTTGAATAACTATGTTACAGAAATGTAATGGAGCAAAGGGGGAAGATGGATAAATGAGCATCTTTAATGAGCATTTACTTAACTCGCATCAACTTAAAGGAAAACTCCAGACCTCTGCGTAACAGATATTTTCAATGTTGCTTGATGAGCATTGACCAGCATTTATTTTCAGCATTATGTACTCTTTTTAATGATTATAAAACCGTTTTTGCTGGCAAAGCACGAGGTTGTAATCATCTGGGTTACGTTAGGAGCAAGATTGATTGTCAGCGAGAGTGAGATGCATTTTGCAAACCTATTTAGAGGTTTGAATCTGTCTTTATTTTGCAGAAAGAGAGTCAACAAAAATAGATCATTATCCTAAACCAAGAGTCCAAGTCAACAAGACTTGACAGTTCTGCATTTTGTTTGCAAACGCCCGCAGATCATTTACTTTTTCTTCTGGTCCTTTCTGGGTTCAACATGCACGTGTGCTAACATCAGCACTAAGCTAAAGGTTGACTTACACTAGACACACTTTGAAGGATTTGATAGAAACACTTGTAGTTTGCTGTTTGGGCCGTACAGAGCGGCTTCAGACTTTCAACCCCAAAGTGTCCCCCTTCTGTTCCAGCAGAGTCTAGGATAAAAATTGTGCTGCAGATCTATAACCTCTGATATTTATTTACTCTAGCATTCACTTGCTTTGTGACAGGCATAGTGCTTTGTATAAATGTATGGTTATCCATTTTGTAGGTGCTAAATAACAGGAGTGCTTTGTTTTAAAAAGTCTATTCATTTGAAGTATGAGATTATTGTTAAACCAAGGTACGAGATCTGAAGTTTTAGGACTGGGTCACTTTAGTTGAACATATTTACACAGAGGGAAGGATTTTAAAAGGGAATTGATAGGGGCAGCAAGTTACCAAAGTGTCCTTTCACCCCCGAAACATCCCACAGTAATGGGATGAACATCTCATCTCTCTCTGCTTGTTGTAAGAGTCTCTTGAATTGACGTTGATCAATCTCACCTCGAGTGGGCGTGGACGCTCAACAGAACTAAACTACTGCCCAGAATTTGGCACTGAATCTGCGTTCTCACTCAAATGAGACTGAAGGGTGGTTGGTGCGGTGGGGAAAGCACAAATCACATTGGTATAATGGGGCAAGAGGGTGACGGGAAGAAGTATTCTTCCACCACCTTCACAGACCATTGCCATCTCTCACCTAGTTCAGCACAGAACTTTGCTTTAATGCCTTAGTCAGTAGCTTCCTGAAACAAGCACATCATTTGTTACAGCTCCACTGGACTCCTCATGTACTATCTGGCATTCAAAGCTATGACCATTCAAAGTTACTGGAATATTGTCAGATACAGAAAAAAAATGTGTTGCTTGAAATTGAACTTAGGTTGATTTTAAATACTGTATTCTGAATTTAATAACAATACAATGTGTGTGTGTGTGTGGAGAGGGGTGGGGCGAGGGGGGTGGGGGGGGTGTAGAAGAGGGGGGGAGAATGGAACGTAGAACCAGACCAATTCACAAGTGAGATGGAGGAGCTAGGGTTCATTGTCGATTGATAAATGAGATTGGGGTGATTGTCCAGATTGGTGTGAAATATCTGATTTAACCTTTAAAATTGATTTCGGTGAGTTTGACAAGTGCATCTAGAAAAATAAATGGAGGACTCCGGTCGAAAGCAATCCTATGATAATTATGAGAACATTAAGTCTCATCACATGGAGTTTTCCTTTAAATCATAGGAATGAATGCAATTATACACCAGTCTGAAATTGCAGAAAATCTTGCTGTCATGGAGTTCCTAGTGATTGACAGTGAAATATGTGAGAACATAGAGGGAAGCATAAAATGCATTATTATTTAGTAATTTGTACTTGGATTGAAACTCTTGAGGAAAAAATCATTTTCCCATTCAGAACTGAACAATAGAAAGCACTTAAATCTGATATTTACTATGTAACAATAAATCACATATTAATACTATTAAAAGCAAAATGTTAGTTTCAGCCATTTACTATAGCACTACATGAAGCTTCGATAATAAAAACACGAGTGTGCTTTATTTATTATTTTAAGGCCAATATCCTGACACTGTGTGTATTTTGTTTGTGTACATGTTTTTGTAGTGTAAGATATGAAATTTTATATTTTCATAAAAAAATAAATTTTTATATCAAGATGTTTGTGAACATTTCTTTCATGCTTGTGAAGACTACACAACCCACTGTGTACTTCCACGGGTTGAAGCTGCACTTTGTTTTGTAAATGAATTTAGAAAGAAATCGGATATTTGATACATTATGGATTTAGCTCATTATTTACCTTTTAATCAGGCATCTCCTTGGGATAGAATTCTGTGAAGTTACCTACAAAGAGAAGAGGAGGGGGCAGAGAGGCTGAGGGCCCAGCCGGACCCACCATTGGCAGTCGGACCTTCAGCATCTCTGCCCCCCACCCTTTGGAACTCCATCTCTCCACCTTGCTGCACTGCTTTAAAGCACGTCTCAAGACCCTCCTCTTCGACCGTGCCTTCAGCTACCCTCCTACCCTCCACTCTCCCTGATCCTAAACCCCCACCCCCCGCTCGGGACCAAATCCCTGACTGTCCAGCGCCTTGTGATATCCTCCTGATGTGAAAGGCCCAATGCAAATGAAATTTTGGGCTCAGTTTAGGATTCACCCACAGTCACAGCCAGACAACCCAAGTGATCATTCCTCCCGTGATAATTGAGTGAGTTAAACTAACTCAACACCCACGGAACTGGACCCAGCATGAGCCAGTGTATTCAGGAGAGCAGGTAGAAATGAGAGCAGGCAATGCAGGGGAAAAAAATAAAAGCAGCTTTGTCGTGGTTTAATTTGTGAGATCCACACAAGGCTTTATTTCCAACGAATACCGGACATGTTGTGGCCAAATCTCTGGCACTCCATTTAACACCTATCTTAGGTCTGCCTTCATAGTTTGGATAAGCAGCTTGCATCTATATAGCGTCCTTCACACCCAGTAGAGTTATGAGTATTAAGAGTTGTATATGCTACATCATCTGTAGATTTTACAACGAAGAGTGATTGTCTCTGGCCCAGGGATACTTTGGTTCATTCAACACAGAGTAGGGATCAAATCCAGGAATTTTCTGGTCTGCATCACTCAGTTCTCTTCTTGGCAATGGCATAATCAACTGAGTGAAAGGTGAGGCTGCGTGGAACATTTTTAATACAAGCTGTGATCCACCAACAAAGCAAGGGCACAGCTGGATGGAACATCAGGTGTGAACCAGTCAATAGTTGAACTTATCTCTGGGGGATGGGAAGCCAGTGGAGCTGGACAAGGACGGAGGTGAAAGAGACTCACAGAGTCTAGTGAACTGTAGAGTTCTGGATGAACGGTAGGTTGCCTCCACCCTTTGGAATTCTGTCCCACGTTCCCTTCGCCTCGCTCCCTCCCTTACCTCCTTCAAGGCAAGTCCCTCCTCTTCGATCACGCCTTCGGCCAGCCTCCTACCCTCCCTGCCCTTCACCCTCCCCCTGATCCCAACCTTCCCCGCCCCCCCCCACCACACCCCCACCCTCCTCCCCCCTGCTCGGGTCCAAATCCCTGACTGTCCAGCGCCTTGGTACGTCCTCCCGAGGAAAAAAAAAAGCACTGTACAAATGTAATTTTGTATTATGGCTTGTGGAGGGAAGGATAATAATCACTCCAAAAAAAAATGTGGTCACTCCATCCATGACTGTTTGTGGGACACTGCTGTGCGCAATTGACTTCTGCATTTCGACCGCAAAATACACAGTCATTACACTTTACAGTTTCGCCCAAAAAATATACAGTCAATTCACTTTCCTGTATATTCTGTGAAGAGCTTTGAGACGTCTCGAAGATGTGATAAGGCGCTGTATCAAATTCAAGGAGTATTATTATCATTTTACCCCCAGTATCTGTGCCATAACCCGAAACGGAAACAATCCAGCTGTCCTCAGCTGCAGGATGTGATACACGTACATGATTTTGTTTTACCACAGATTTTATTTTACTTATACATTGTCAAGAGTTTGATTCGAAATTGCTGTTGTATATTTTGATTTTATTAGTTAGACAGAACATTAAAGGCAGACAGACATCCGACACAATATTCATAATTCATAAAGGTTTGAGAAAACAGAACAACATTTCCACTGTATTTCATTTCTGTATACTTTGATGAGATCTATCAATCATTCCCAGGCAGTTTAAAGCGATCCAACAATGAATACAGTCACATTGCACAAACACACTGGATCCAGGCTTCAATAAATCCTTTTTTTGAGACACTTATGTGTTGGTTCTGATTAATTTTGATGTTTTATTATCAGTGCAGAAGTGGGCTGAAGGGTAGAGATACCCTTTTGTTTTATGAAAGGGAGAGATCTCCATTGCCTTAAGCACAACTCTACACAAGAGAGTTTATTGTTAAGAGGGGCAATTAATTTGTCAGCCATTCATCTAGAAAAATTGTCATCCTAGCATAATGGAACTCGGCTCATTTCCACCTTTACAGGCTCTGTCCTCATTCACTCTTGGCAGAACTTTAGTCACGCTTCTTATTCTGTAATCCAGCATATTGGAGCTTGAATTTATGAGATTCGCACAAGCATTTGCAAATAACACATCTTAGGAACTGCACTCGGAAACATACCAATGTTCTACCAGATGCCAAGACCTTTATACTCCCACTGCCTGAACCTCTTACCCAGCTGAGGTTTCTATACAGTCCCTGTAAAAGCAAACTGACACATTATCCTATATGAAGGGGCGATAAAAGTGAAAGTTATTGTTCTCATTTGGCCACGGTCTGTCCTCACACCAATTGAAACAGAGACAAGTACCTCTGGGTTACCAACCTGGCTGTGTTGGTTAGCACTCTTGCTTTTGAGTCAGAAGGCTGTGAGTTTGAGTCCCACATCAGACCTTTGAACTCGCAGTCTGGCTGACACTGAAATAAAGGGGAGCGCTGGATTGTTGGAGGTGCCTTTCTTCGTATGACACAACTTTCTGACCTATCTGCCTGTTCAGTTGGACATTAAAGATCTCATGGCACTGATTGAATGGAGAAGAAGCTTCTCCTGGTGTCCTAACCAACAGATAAAAGTAAATGCAGATCAACACATCAGGATCAATCAGGACAATAGAATAAGAGAACTTAAGTTTAAGGTGTAAAGGGCAATTTCAGGACAAATATCAATTAATTTTGCTTGGTGCAGTGGGTAATCAATGATTGGAACAGGTTGTCAGGAAAGATAGTTGAGGCCAGGACAATAAGAGAAACTCCTTTCTCTTTTCAAGTTGTGCCATGGGATCTTAAACATCCCCCTGAACAGAGAGGCGGGACCCGAGTTTAACGTCTCATTCGAAGAACGGCACCTACGGCATTGCAGAGCTCCCTCAGTGCTGCTCTGGAGTGTCAGCTTCGACCGAGCTCAAAATGCCAATGCAGCTGGAATGTGCAATGAAAATGGTGACTACCATGAGCAGATATAAATGGCTAAACAAAGTGTGACATGTATGTATGTATGAGACTATTATACCACAACTGGGGCCATTTTACATATAATATTATAACTCCAAAGTACAGCAGCAGTTATTATATTGCACAAGTGACTGCAGATAGAACAAAATGTCAAATTCAGGTAAAAAAAAATGCAAACACATCCGTACATGAGATCCTGGCCGTTGTTATTGCCAGACCAGGGATGTGGCCATCGAGTTCTCGATGTTCTTGGGATTGGGAAAGTGGAAGCAGTGTGGGACATGGCTGTTGTCTGACACGACTGTTAGTGTCTAACCCCATGCTGACCTCATCTGAGTGGAGTTGGCTTAAACTGACTCTTGTTTCTGATCTAATACACTGCATGGTTGAGCGCGATGCTTCAAAATGAGGTATTGCTCGTGAAGTCAACTCCCCTAAGGTTAGCAATGAGAAAAGGAATAAATAGAGGTCACATCAGTGGTCACACAGACACCTCGAAAGAAACGGTGCTGGTAACCAATGAAGATCAATAAAGGTGACCTCACAGAAATTCATCTCTGGTTCATTAGAGGAAGGTTAGGGGAGCAGTTCAGGATATCACCGGCTTCGTGAGCAGGATACATTTGTTGTACTGTATAAGAAACAAGGGCAGCCAGTTGATAAATGCGGTCAGAGGATTTCATCCATGACTTGCTGCTTAAATACATACATCTGGACGAGAATAGTCCTGTGGCTCAGTGGTTAGAGCACTCGCCTCGCAAGCGAGAGACCTGGGTTTGATTCCCGGGAGGGGCGAAACCTTGGTCAAGCTTCCTTACTCCACATGTCTCTGTGACCTAGTAGAAACCCGGTTGTTATTCAATTGTCAGATTG